CCCACCTCATCTCTCTAAATTTCCTACGGTCCTCTGAGTTCCCCCATGTCCTTTCCAGACCGATTATTCTAAAGTCGCCCTCTTTGTGCCCCCCTCCTGAGAAGTGGCGGTTCACGGGAATCCTGCCCTCCCTCCTACACCGTATTGATGAAAGGTGGTTCTGGGTACGCGTGTATATTGTATCGCCTGTTTGTCCTACATATACTACCTTTTCACACTTATTGCACCAGACACCATACACCAGGTTAGATGACCTACACCCTATGGTTTTGTCATAGTGTACGGGCCCTCCCACTCCTGGTATTGAGTCACCCTCATAAAACACCTGACAGATTGCACAGTCCCTCCCGCAGTCCTGCCTCCCTTGGGTTGTAAGTGCCCTCCTCGTCTTGCCATGTACCAAAAGGTCTTTTAGATTCCTTCCACGCTTATACGCCACCATCGGGTATCAGGCCTGATAATCACGTAACAGCGCGGTGCTCAAACAATTGAGGTGGCTGCTAATCTTTCGACTGTGACCTATACGGCTTCACACTGACAACTGTGACAACACAGAGATCATAGATATGATACTGAACTGCGCGGAGGCATTTATCACCCACTCAACTTCTGAACAGAGATAAATACTGAGGGAAAAGACGTCACCTAATCATCCTCCGCGACAACTGACAAACCCGTCCCTGACCCGGAGTAGGCGGGCCTCCCACGCAGACTGCCTGATCGGGATAACTGAGGATGAAATGAGACATAAAGCCTAACATGTATGCAGAGTGTAGACTGTAGAGTGTAGGTAGACCATCGCGTGTTTATGTTTGCGTGGGTTACGGGTGAAGTCCTTTCCGTTAAAGGAACCCTCCCGGCTCCCAGTTCCCACTTTCAAAAAAGTTAACGAATCGGCATACAAGTGGTGTTGCATGGTTCAGGGTGAGCAAAATGAATATCTACCAAGTTTCATTGAAAAATATTAGCCGGTTTTTAGCTACCTATCAGACAATTACTTTTGTTTATTTTTCAAAACCTTCGCTGTTCCTACGACGTCATTTGGAAGCAAAAATTTGGTATCTTGAGAGTGCGGCAGATGTTCCCGGCAAAAAGCATATACCACCACCGCTTGACAAAGATGTAAATATAAGATTTTAAAATCGCTAGAACTGCGCTGACGTCACAAATTTAGAGGGGGCATTCAAATGCATTAGCCTCTCTGAATCCGAAGTGCTGCAACTTTGAAATTAAATATCTCCAAATTAAAGCCTTTCTCGATGTTGTCAGTGCCCCAGCCGCCAGGTGCAAGCCAGGGACCCCAATTTGGGTATCTCAGCTCAAAACTAATGTCAACGTGGAATGGAACGGATTCGGTTTTTGGCGAATAACTTCGCAAAACATGATCGCAGACCCGCGATTTTGACAGCATCGTGTTCGCCTTGCTCAGGCGCGTCGAATGATATAGTTTTGGCGTCAGGTATGCCTGAGCCTGTGCCAACAACACAGGAACTCAACGACGAGCTCCTGAGGATAACTCCCAGCGACTCCAGTGACCAGACAGGCTCGCCGCGCCCCAACCTGCTGGCCGGTTACGCAGAGTTGTTGGCAGAACTGAAAGCGGTATCGAGGTGCGACGAGAGCGATGACGGGGAGAGGCCGAGTGACTGAAGGGGCGGGATCGGGCTGTGTGTGTGTGTGGGTAATGCAATGCGCGTGTGAATGGGCTGTATGCTTCGCCCATGTATAACGATGTTCGCCTGACGATTCAATGTAATTTGCAAGTGTCTCTAAATAAATCGGTACTGGGTTTTGGCGTGGGTGAGGTCAACTTTAGGTGTTAATCTCTGATCACGGTCAGGTCGGAGCCCCCCCAGGTCACGAACTTGGTCGCAGGAGGTCATGTTGCATATCGTTCGATTCGGTTGGTCTTCCCGAGTCCATTGGTGGCTTTTCCGACTCGCTAGCTCAATTTGATAAGGAGTTATTGACCGAAAACTCTTACAATCCTAGTGACGTCATAAATTATGTCACGCAAGGTCAACAATGCAAAAGTGAAGCATCGAAACTTGCAAGGACTGCATAAAATCACGGTTCCGTGCGGTTCAGATAGTATGAGATCGTTATCGGCGCCAAAATAGCAGTTTTCATTTTTCCCCATTGACTTATAATGTCACGAAAATGACTTGACCTCATATGACCCTCACGAGATATCCGAGATAAGCAAATTGTTAGACTCCTAATTGATACTAGGTCCTGAAAGTTCAATTTCCCTGTGAAAGCTCCTCTGGCAGTAAGGGCGTTGCGAAGTTGCGACTTCTGAAGACCGTGCAGAGGTTCACTTATGACGTCATAGGTCAGTGACCGACCTGACCCGAAAATTCGGTTGATGTCAGAAGATCCGGCTTGAATCAAAGGTCAGGTATGCCAGGTTTCAGCTCTCTATCGCCAGCGTGTTTGGAACTATCGCGAAAAAACCTATGACTAGGCGGCACCCAAGATTACTTTACTACTCCGGCACCAGCCCTCCCCCTCGGCCGGCGAGGGTTAAAGAATGAAGAAAAACTACTGTTAACCCGCGCCCTGGTGGGGTCTGTTTATAACGCGACCTGGTGGGGGGGGGGGGGGGGCTATTTTTTGCCCCCCCCCCCCTCGTATCTCCGAAACTACTGGACGGATCCGCAAAATTCAAACGGCGTTCGAAAGGCCTGTCAAATTTGTCGAAGGAAACCAAATTTCATTGACCTCGGGGTCACCGATGACGTCACAGGTCAGGTCAAAGATGAAATGTTTCACCGTTCACGGGTCTGCTAGGGAATGCGCTATAACACCGAGGAAAACGCATTTTGTCGAGAATCAGCGATAGGGCGTCAGTTGCCTAGTAGATATGTTGCCATTAGAGGTCACTGACAATACCAGGTCACGTCACAGGTCAGGTCACCAAGGGTCACAGGTCAGGTCACATGAGCCCAACTTTACTAAGGTTGTGTGATGCATGTTTTATGGCCAATTTTTCATTTCCAACTCAATGGTGTTGGTTATAAGACTATCAGGTACGGCTTAGGTCACTTTCTGGTGAAGTTCAGGTCAAGGTCAGGTCAAGGTCAGGCCAAAAAAGGTCAAATTTTAAAGTTGATAGTTTTGCATAAAATGGGTATTGATTCGATGCAGCTCGTCACGGGGAGTCTAATGGTGGTCTTTGTTTTGCGCTACGGGGTCTAGAATTGCTAAAAATTGAGTTTGAAAATTTGACGTCATCAATTTTGAACAGTTTTTTCGCTATAACTTCGCCAAAAAAGAGGTATCAATCTCAAATTTGGTATGTGGGTGGAAGGCGGTAAGGGCTATCACATATATTCCGGTTTTGCGAAATTCAAAAAAAAACTTTTTGAATTTTTCGATCATTATATCCAAAAAAATTATTTTTTGATTTTTGGGGGTCAAAATCCAAAAATTTCAAAAATCCGAGATAGCAGTTTTGTAGCCCTGTCAATTCTACAGCTTTTATCTCCTTATCATTTTTCTGTATTTGCAAAGCTATAGGCCTGACAGCTCTTCCCGCGAAACCCTTTTTTGGGTCGAAAACGGCAGAACATGACGTCACTCTGACGTCATTTCCGGCCAACATATCATAGCCTTTGGAAAAAATTTTTGGTCACCATGTGTAAAATTGATGTCCAGGAGGGTACTGAAAGTTTGGTGACGATCGGCGCAGCGGTTCTGGAGATATATCGAAAAGTCTGGAGGGGGGGGGGGGGCAAAAAATAGCCCCCCCCACCAGGTCGCGGGTTAATGGGGCTTAGCGAGACTTTGATGCCTTGCTGATAAAATGCCAGTGCATTTACCTGATCTGATATTCAGACTCATTTAAAACTTTTTTTTAAACAGGTCATGCAGTTTTTCCGTTTTGCCCCACCGGTGGGTTAAAACGGGAAATGGCGCGGGGCAATACGGGCTCCGACGAGCCTTTCGCCTAGCTTTACTTTCTTTCTCAGCCTCCTATCTTCTATCTTCTATCTCCAGTCTCCTATAGTACCCGTCCAAGCCATTGAAAATGAAACAGTTTATCTCGGCAAGAATGTACAGATATATTAGTTACACACCATGAGCGTCGAAAGCGCGGGGGGGGGACGGGGACGCGTTTCCCCAGTTGAAGAATCCGGCGCGGGACGTCCCCTCCAAAAGGTAACCCATAAATGTTTTAAAAAGTGACCACTTGCAGCGGTCATTTATAATGGAGCCATGTAAACAGAAATAAGCCTTCTTCAAGAGAATGGGTACCTACTGATGCTGGTCAATAAACTAAGACCGTACACAAATAAGACCTAGCAGGTGCTTACTTACATCCAGAGTGCGCCAGAAAGATCTACCCATCGACAGTATCACTTTATTTCAAAACGGCCTGGCATACGAATGCCAACTTTTGCATACATATCACAAGTTGTTTCAAATTCTGACAGAGTAGCTTATTTTGTATATGTTCGTCTGCTGTCCACACTACGCACCTGAAATGTGAGGACGCCTCGGCGCACATCGGCCGGTCCTTTTCTCCTGGGATCACCACTGGGTGATGGCCCTATTTACTGCACTGCCGCCGCTGATTTGTCGCTGGTCTAAGGACTGCTGGTCGAGACCTAGTCCCGACCCGAGCCCCATGGACTTCTTCAACTGGAATATTCTAGAAAAAAAAAACAGCCTACCGAGCCCCAAAGCAACGCGAATGACCACGGCGCAGCATCGCCTCAGCATGTAGGTGAGGGAGAAAAATAAATGAAAAGACGTTGCGGCGGCTGCGTGCCGTACTTAATGTTCTCTCGTATCGGGTACCTAACCTAGGAAGAAGGTTTCCTAACTATATCTCTCCTTCTCTCTCTCTCTCTCTCTCTCTCTCTCTCTCTCTCTCTCTCTCTCTCTCTCTCTCTCTCTCTCTCTCTCTCTCTCTCTCCCTCTCTTTCTCTCCCTCTCTCTCTCTCTGGCGCCAGCGTCTGACGTCTGACGGCTGCAGCGTTGCTCTGTTGCAGGAGCAGCTGCTGTTCGCCACTCTCTCCGCCGGCTCCGACTTCGACTCGGAGGTCATGTATAGCTACTGCTCCAGCAGCACCGGTGAGCCGCCTGAACCAGATGTGGGTATCGAACTCGCTGACTTGTACTTACTACAAACGAGTAGATGACAGAGCGTATAAGACATTAATAATTACAAAACATAAATGACGTACAAGAGCCGAGTGCATTAGGTAACAGAGTCGCTCCACGTAACATAGAGCATCTATTGATTGAATACCTATTAGCTGATTCGGAATGAAGTACTTTGCTGCAAGTAAGTTTTATGTTGTACCTATTTGGAAAACAATCATATCTGAGTAGACCGATGACATTAGCTGTAACACTAACTGACGCTGTTTTGATTTCAGTATTCTACGAAGGAGACATATTTTTGGACGGGGTAAGTATTACTAACTAACTGATAAGTCTGAAATCATCACCAAAGTCGATGGGTATACCTGAATAATAAGCAGTTTAATAGCGACAACTAAAGTGTGCAAACATAAGTCTTCCAGTTTCTATGAATAGCTGGCTTGCTGCACATGGACAAAGCAATATCAATGTTGTTAAAATTGATTGTTCTGAATTATTGGCTACGTTCTTCATCATTATCCATAGGTATCTAGCGACTCATTCTGATAGGATGACACGTCTGTCGCGTTGCGGCGTGCGCGTGATAATGTCGCTTCCGAAGCAAATGCTTAGACGTCCAAAATTATCATCATTATGCAACATCCCTCGCCCATGTAGGGGGGGGGGGTTGGTGCAACCCCCCGCCCTGAGGTTTTTCTTAGCTACACGCCGAACCGTTTCAGATAGCCTGCTCAAATTTTCAGTACCCTCTGGGGCATCCTTTGCGCAACTTTTGGTATTTTTTGTCAAGGTCATGTCAGGTCACGGAGTTATGACGTCATAAAGGGAACAACCTCCGGCCAGATTTACGCTAAATTGGAGATTGCTTCACATTGGTATAAATGCCGACTGACCTGACACACTGATGAATTGTTTTAGAATCACAACTGGCTGATTTGACATTGGCACAATGTCCGTTGACATTTTGAAGGTTACTAAAGGTCAAGGTAAGGTCAGTGACCTCGGTTGACCTGCAATGACTTCTTGCACTTGTATGCCTTTTCGGGGTATTTTGATGCCCTGAATTCGAATTTGCTATCCATTTCAGGCATCGTCGGTTGTTTCTTGTAGTTCATTTTGGGTCAGGGTCAGGTCAGTGACGTCACACGCCTGACGTGACCCAATGCACAAATGACCTTGCAGACTTCCGATGCTCCCAACGCATCATTTTTAGAGTTATGACATCGAAATACACACCAAACGATAGAGAATTGATCAAGGATCACGATAGTGAAGGTTTCAAGTCGATATCTCTTACCGTTTTGCCGCAATCGGCGCGGAAATATGAAAAAAGTTAGTTTTTTCCGAAAATATGACCTTTGACCGGTCATAAGTAGGTCAAATGTTGACCTAGGACCAAAAAAATATACCACCAATCGCGAGATCTCGTTGAGAGCAATCCGTTGGTCTTTTCCGCCTAAGCTTTACGACGCTCCGTTTTCAAACGCCAGGGGGGGTCGCACCAACCCCCCCCCCCTGCACGGGCGAAGGTGGCAAAACACCGTTTACGGGCGAGGGATATACTTGCACTCAGTTCACTTTAAATGTAAACTTGTAGACACCGGTACCTTAGGTAAGTACCTACGTACACATTTCAGAATTGGGTTCTACAAATGTCTAATACTATGGAAAGCTTACCTACTTCGTGATATTTTAATGATAAGATTATGACTTAACCCGCGCCCCGTTGGGCTCTGCCGAGCAGCGCGCCCGGTTGGGGGGGCCATTTTGCCCCCCCCCCCCTAAGATCTCGAGAACCACGCAACATAGCGACAAGCGGTAAACGGCGTTGGATAGCCCCAACGGGGAGTTACCTTGTGACCGAATTTTATTGACCTAGGTCAAACCGATGACGTCACAGGTCAGGTCAAAGGTCCAATTTTAACCGTTTACAGGCATTTCAAGAAATGCGTTGTAAAATCGAGTAAAATGCATTTCATTGCAAATCATCGATGGGGAAATGTTCTTCAAACACATATTTTGCTATTTGAGGTCGCTGATACCAGGTCAGGTCACAGAGGTCAGGTCACGGGGGGGTCACAATATGAAAGTGTCGTGTGATACACGTTTTATGGTCCATTTTACATGACAAATGCGATTATGTGGGTCAGGCAACCTTTGGGGCCAGCTTAGGTCACGTTTTGGTCAAGGTCAGGTCAAGGTCAGGTGAAGGTTAGGTCAAATTAGGTCGAATTTCAAAGCTAATATTTTTGCATAAAATGGGTATTGACTATTGAATCGATGCAGCTCGTCACGGGGAGTCTAATGGTGGTCTTTGTTTTGCCGGACGTGGTCTAGAATCGCTAAAAATTGAGTTCAAAAATTTGACGTCATCATTTTTGAAAAGTTTTTTTTTCGCTATAACTTGGCCAAAAAACGAGATATCGATCTGAAATTTGGTATTTATATAGAAGAGCGCTGGGACTATCACATATATTCCGGGTTTTTCGAAATTCGGAAAAGTTTTGGATTTTTTTCTAGTTTTTCTAAAACAAATCAATATTTTTAATTTTTTTGTCAAAAACCAAAAACTTTGAAAATCCGAGATAGCAGTTTTGTAGCGCCGCTTTTTGTCTACTAGACCATATAAAGAACTTTAAAATTGCTTGATAACTGTAGATTTGGTGAGCGTTTCAAGATTGCATGTTTTTTGCTCATTTCTGCTCGAACATGACCTCAGTTTGACCTCAATAACTCCTGACCTAAGGTGACCTAAGACTTGAAATTTGGTGTGAAGGTGTCAAATTGATGGCCGGGAAGGTGCTGAAAATTTGGCGGCGCTGCGCGCCGCCGTTTTCTTGCTATTCAGGAAAAACCACAGGGGGGGCCAAAATGGCCCCCCAACGGGGCGAGGGAATAGATACGATGCCATTCATGAGCAATACCACCCACCTGTATCAGTCCTGCATTGCCCGGCCCGTCACCGGTTTGCCCTGTGCGCAGCTGCAGCCGTGGAGCCCTGCCGTCCAGCCGTGGAGCCCAGCCGTCCAGCCGGCCCCCGGAGCCGACCTCCGCTACGTGTACGACGGCGTGGAGCGGTGGCAGGACGGCGTCATCCCTTACGTCATCAACATGAGTGAGTAGCAGGGTTGTATACGACTCAGTCAATAGCAATCAATTCAATCACGACAAATTTGGGAAACCAATCAAATCAATCAAGTCAGAGCAGTTTTCGGGAATTGATTCAATCGACTCAAACGCGACAATGAAAGGAATCAATCAACTCAATCAAACGACTCAAACCAAGACATACATTAGGTTTTTTGCCCACCAACTTGGAAAAGTGTCCATAGCAGTCTGGTGTACCTACCTACCTACCTACCTACAGAAGAAACATAAAAATATTGTCATTTAAAATTATAAATTGCCATGCCATTCAAAGTTTATATGTACCTAATAAGGAAGGATACCTAGTGATGGACAGGTGGATCATGATATTGAGGTTCAATGGGTAGAATTGGAGCAGAAGTTTCATTTAATGGGTGCAAAATAACCCAGTAGTTGACTTGCCCCTTAACCCAAATCACCACCTTTCACCTAAAAGTTGTCAATTTAATTTTGGCCATATTCCAACTCCATTTACACTAAATATCAGATATTGCAGTTGAAAGTTGACTGCTCGGATTTTGGCAGTGTTCGTGATTTGGCCATTTACCCTACACCATGTCTATTTCAATGGATTATATGCATCAATAACATATTAACCATAGGGAAATAGAAATAAATATCTTACCTGTATGTGACGGTTTTGGTTAGACAGAGACTGACGGGCAGCCTGAAAAATCTTTCCACACAATGTGCATTTGAGACGTGGGATGTTGTCAGATTGGGAAGGAAGAGATTTGAAGTATTTAGCGGTCCACGACTCTGGACGTGGCATGTCAATGTTAGGTACCTATGTGAAGAATTCAAAACATTTGTGTTTGAATTTTATTGCAATACAATTTGAAACTGTTAGGACTGGGGGATAGGGATGAGGGTTAAAAAATATATTTAAAAGGAAATGGAGAGGACAGGAACTCTGGAACCACAGTATAAGTTAAGGACAAAGGAAGTGGGAACGAGGAAAATTAAAACGCGAAAACGGGGACGACGGTGAAAACAGGGCGCCTTGGGCGATTTGACCAAGGTTGGTGAAATTTACACGTGACGTTTAGCATGTAGAAGACCCACGAAGGGGGAGCACTTCCAAATGTCACGTGACTAATATGCCCTCCGGCGCCCTGTTTTCACCGGCGTCCGAAAACGGCACGGTGCGACTGCATGAAAACGTTTTGCCAATAAGTATGCTAAGCTTTTATAAATCCTTCTTCTACGTCTTTTGATTTTTTGGTAAGATGACGTCATTGATTATCATGTAGTATGGTAGATCATCATAAAATAAATCGGTTATACAACACCAATTTCGTTTTAGTTATTATTTTATTTGAAATAAAACCACTTAATAATATTCGGTAAAATATTTCAAGGAAAATGAAATATATTAAATATGTTATGCTTAGGCTCTCAGGAGAAAAGGATCAACAAACGTTCTGCTGCAAATTAAACAATGCAGCAAATTAGCTATTAATTAGGCACGTAAACGTAAATAGCGAGACGAAAACGGCGCTTTTGTTTCAGTTATTTTTGTAGGGGTTTCAGATATTTATGGAGTTCAGTGGGTTGTTTCTGAGATGTGGAGATGTGAATTATTAATTAATCACACTTTATTAGTATATAGGGCCTTGCACTTTATCATCTGGATTAGAAAAAACGTTTCCTGCTGAGTGCAGAAAGGTAGGTAGGTGCATCGCCAGGTTCTATCACCAGGATTGGTGCAGTTATTGCAGTTGAAAGTCAAAGTTGGCTGTTCATGTTTAGGCCCTGTTCTTTATTTGGCCATCTACCCCATATTGCAGTTGTGATGACAAGCAGTTTTCAGTTGTGATGACAAGCAGTTTTCAGTGTAGTTTTGTGATCTTTGATGTCATCAATTGGTGTCATTATTTTTCGTCAACTAAAAGTTATTTGAACTCTCCTTTCAATCGACTCAATCATACGAGTCACTCTAATTTTCAGGAATCAAATCAGTCAACCAGTCGCTAAAGTCAAACGAGTCAGTCAACCAGTCATCTCGAAAAGTCAATCGACTCAATCCAATCAACTCAAAATACGCGTTGAAACAAATCAATCAATTCAATCGACTTGATTGGTATACAACCCTGGTGAGTAGACGACCGTACGTCATCAACATGTGTGAGTTGGCACCGCCGGCCGTAGTACGTACATAGGGGAAAGTGGGGTAAGACGGGCACCTTAACTTTGGAGCCATTTTTCGGCCGGTTAGAAACATCATAGAAACGGGAAACTGAGTGAAAACCCTTTTTCACTCAGTTTCAGTTTTTTTACATTTTACTTCCATTTGCCAGAAGATGAGACTTAGACCTGATTCAACAAATAAACTGCAGCTATTTTTGCAAAACCTTGCAAAAACCCTCTTGCCCCACCCCATGGGGTAAGACGGTCACATGGGTAGGGCAAGACGGCCAGCTTCTTTCACCGACCAGCACAGTTCGCAACAAATGCCCGAGATTAGCCGCATTGATACAGTCGCTCGTTGGTCTCAAGTGCTTCGGAAATGGCAGTATACGAGATTCGTGGAATCGTGCAGAAGGCATATGCTCGCATACAGGCCCTAGTTCAGAAGCCATGTAGAACCGTTTCTCACATTCATTATTCGAGAATAAACTGTGCCGAAGGAATATTGCTGACATGTATATGAGCATCAGAATCGAACATATTATGATTAGAAATGCTTCTTTTTTTACTACAGCAACAAAAAAATTTTCACCATTACAGACCCATTGGATTCATAGTTGCCCGTCTTACCCCAAACTCAATGTCAGAAGTTCAGCACGATTTTTCTCTGTGGACAATTTGATGCAGACAAAGCAAATCCGCGGTAAATGAACGCTGGTGGCATATGAGTGTACCACAAGTGATTGCGAGTTTTTAACTCTATAGTCCTGAGGCCTCTTGCACCAAACTACCTAGCTAGGTAAAATCGAAAAACCGGTTTCAGAATAAGCTAATCTCACGGTGGTAAATTTGTTTGCAATGGCCCAATACATAATCCTACATGTGCTTGCTAAATTTTGCACGCAAATTGTTACATTTGAGACTTGGACTTGGTATACGATGCAAAATAATCCAAGCATTGGTGCAAGAGGATTTTGGTGCAAGAGGCCTCTGCACATAAAAGCTTGCACAATACATTATGGAGGTTTTCAATGAAATGAGTGTTTTAAAGAAGTCAAAATAAAAGATTATCGACTGATCACAAAGTCACCAGACTTCAATGGTGGTGTGTAGTGAGAAAGACAGTTCTGGTCCTAATTGTTTTCGCTCGTAGCGCTATTGGTTTGGTCTGCAGAAGGGGTGCCCGTCTTACCTACCCTGACCGTCTTACCCCACATTCCCCTACGTCATCAACGTGTGTGAGTAGAGAGCAGACACCGCCGGCCCTGGGACAGGGAGGGAGTGGACAGGGGGGGGGCTTTTGAAAACATTTTTGGTCACAATGTATAAAATTGATGTCCGGGAGGGTACTGAAAGTTTGGTGACGATCGGCGCAGCGGTTCTGGAGATATATCGAAAAGTCTGGAGGGGGGGGGGCAAAAAATAGCCCCCCCCCACCAGGTCGCGGGTTAATGCGGAGTGATCAAAAGAAGATGTCAGTAGCTAAAGTTGCAGCTGCAAGGGTGACGATACATATAAGCTACATTCAAAGTTTCATTGTAGTCTGGTAAATCGTTCCTAAGCTTCAGAAGCAGAACATACCCATGACTGAAACCCCACATTACTTCTGCTGTGGACTGTACGTATACGTCGAGCCCCGCTGCCTCCCACCTGGCAGCTCCTGTAGTGCCCCAGTCTGCAGCTGTATATGACGAGTCCCACTGATTGCCCGCCGTCAGCCCGCAATGTGGAGACCACCGAGTGACCCACTGACTCCCCGGCCCTCGCCCGTCAGCCCGATTGACCCACTACCTCCCCGGCCACCCCTCATCAGCGCGCAATGTGGAGACTCCCGAGTGAGTCACTGCCCCCCCCCCCTCCCCGGCCCTCGACCGTTAGCGCGCAATGTGGAGACCACCGAGTACCTGATGGAGCTGCTGGAGAACGAGACGGCCACCGCGTACCGGCCGCGCTGCGTCCACTTCCGGCCGTACCAGCCGGGTGACACGGATCACGTGTTCATCACCGACCAGTACCCGTGCAGCTTCTCGGCGGTGGGCCGCCGCGGCGGCCGCCAGATCCTCAACATGGGCGACAACCTCAGCGGAAAGCTCGGCCAGATCCTCCACCTGCTCATGCACGTGCTCGGTGAGTCGCCGCCGCCGCAGCAAAGGCCGAGATTTTTTGATAAATTTAGTCAGTAACTTTTGAATGGGAAGATTCAGAAAGACAAATCCCCCTCCCCCCCTAAGAAGAGCTTGTTGCGTTGGCCCTGCCTGCTGCCATCTGCCTTTTGATCTCCCAATTTTTTAGCTATGGCAGAATTTAGAGTCCGAAGTTTAAGGTACGCGCATAGCCGCGCACGGCCGGCTTGCAAAAAAGGCGCATTGAAATTTTCTCCTATATAAACGTATAATGAAGCGGATGCACACTGGGCGTGTTCAAACACACCCGGCCGGGCCGTATCGGGTTAATATTAATCGTTTGCACGACGGGCTATCTCGCGAATGCATCTAATTTGACCCGAAATCTGCACCAAATCTCATTTACAATAAATATCTCCACATGAATTTATTTCAGTTTTTAATCGAATACATGTCGAAAGATTTTAAAAATGAGGTACATACCTACCTAAGCATGTGTTTCAACCCAAACTGATAACTTTTTAGATATACTGAACCTAATTTGACAAAATCTGCACATAAAAGCCGTTTTCACGACATGCTATCCGGCGAGTGCACCTAATTTGACCAAACCTGCACCTAATCTCTTTTACAGCAAATATCTTTATTTCATGAATTTATTTCCGTGTTTTAATCGATGATACGATACTCTCTGATAATATGACAAAGCAGGCATATAAGCAATTAGTGCAACCCTAGCTGATCGCTACTAAGAAACACACTGAACCTAATTTGACAAAATCTGCACCTAATCTGCACCAGATGTGCACCAAATGTGTACCAGATAGCCGTCGTGAAAACGGTTAATGCGCACCAAATATGTACCAAGTAGCCGTCGTGAAAACGGCTATTAAGGAAACGTTTGATTATGTTAGCCCTTATAACGCCTTTCTGGCATAACTGCTCTAACCTTGAACGACATTATACAGGCTTATTTGCACAAAATTTCATTAATACTATAAAAGGCCGTCGTCATGCGACGATCACATTTGCTGGCACTATCCTTACGGTAAGTAAAGTGGTAGGTATGCTGTACCGCAATGCAAGCATTCACAGCGGCACAGCATGGAACATCGGACTGAGCCCTCAACTCTTGAGCAGCTGTAGGGAAAGCAAAGGCCTACTTAGGCCATAATTCAATTAAACATGAATAGTTGCGTGCCTGGTGGCATTATAAACACGCTAACAATTAACATGTATATGTTACGGGTCATATGCTAACTTGGGCAGTATGCAAACTACCCGGGCAGTGTGCATACTACCCGACAGCCCGGGCAGTATGCATACCGCCCGGGTAGTATGCATACTACCCGACCCCTTGGGCAGTATGCATACCGCCCAAAACTTGGGCAGTTTGCATACTGCCCGCTTCTCATCTTGCAGTTGCGTATTCTATGTCCATTTTTAACATATTAATGACTCTCTGAGTAATGTAGTTCATCCGCGATGTCCTTTTGCGCCGTCAAACGTGATTTATCGACTAAAGGATGGAATAAGGGTTGGAATATAAAAATTCAAACTTTTCTTCTCAGAATTTCATTGTTAATTAGCCAACGGCCAACAAGTCACGTTACTCTAAAATGACGCCAGATATAGCGTGACGAGAGTGCCATCACTTGCTGGCTTTGGTTTGGCACATGAACCTGTAGAGGGCTTTACTACAGCTTCAATAGCAAATGCTGCATGAAACTATTTACACGTAAGACGTTACAATTGTGCTGATGGTCGGGATATCAGGTCAGTTCAAGTGACCTTATATCTCAGAAAAAGCTAGTATGCTCGCCATAGCTGTACCGACTCAACATCGCTTTGAAACTTTTAGCGATTGATAAGAGTAAAAGCATGTAATTGTACAAAACCCATATAATATAATTTTGATATAATATCGTTGATCTCAGGTCAGGTCAATTTTGCGTAGTCCCCTTTAGAGGTTGACAGGATAAAGTTGAAAGATGCATTTTTGGATGAAAATAATTTTAAATACTCTCAAACATTGGGTTACAAGTAAACATGACAAGCCGAATCGGAAAATGGCACTTGTGGCCTCTCTTTATGACCATGAGGTCATCTCAGGTCATCAAATGTCTTCAGCAGTTGTTTTACGATAACTTTTAATGGAGACATGTTTGAGCGATGTAAACAACTTAAGATGTGTTCAGGGCGACGACAATGATTGGCTAATAAAGAACAAGACCTTTCATGTCAGGTCATGACCCTGACCTTAGGTCAAATTTTCAAAGTGGCCTTTTAAGTCAAATTAGGTACAGTGCATTCGACGCGTCTCGACAAGAGAAACACGATGCTGGCAAAAACGATTTCGTACCTATCTTGGATCAATAAATATTCTAGGAAAATCGTCGAAACAGCAATTTTAAACATTGTTGCCTTTTTGAGGCTAGACCGTTAAACTTAGGTCAACTTTGAATGCTTATTCCAGAAAGCGAGTTATCGAATGCAGCTTTCTGTGGCGCTGTAGATCTACTAGCTTACGAGTTATGGGCCAGTTTGTTAAGAAAGCCAAATTTGACCTTTTTTAACTCTATTGACCTGATCTTTGACCTGACCTAAAAATGACTGCAGTAGCTTCGTCATGATTTTTTACCCTATTTTGAATGCTGCTTACCGCATCTTACATGTCGCTTACTCCTGTGCCGCTAAGTTGCACAGGAGCCGAGCAGGGTTGTTCAACTCCCCCCCCCCAGCCCGGCACGGCTGGCGCCGAGCACCGCCCCAGCGCGGGTTAAAGCGTCTGTCATAGACATGTATGCGAGCTATTGCATTAACCAGTCTCACGAGCCGCGGTCAGCATATTGCCCGAGTAAACATCTTGCCTGTGAGATGAAAGGTGGGCAGTATGCATACTACCCGGGCAGTATGCAAACTGCCCGGGCGGTATGCATACTGGCTACTGCCCAAGGAGTCGGGTAGTATGCATACTACCCGGGCGGTATGCATACTGCCCGGGCTGTTGGGTTGTTTGCCTACTGCCCGGGTAGTTTGCATACTGCCCAAGTTAGCATATGACCCGTAACACATATACCTATCCATGCATTATAGGTGATTCGAGGTTAACTGAAGCCTGAAATTATCGTGTATGAATACCTATAAAGATAAGTATTATTGATGGATGTTGGATAGTAGGTAGGTGTACGTTTTAATCATTTTACAGATATTAGCGCCTTTTTTGTTTCACAAAGCTTTCGGTTAGAATGTAATACTAAACCGCATTAGCTAACCAAAATGTCCCTCGCCCGACAGGATTTTGGCACGAGAATAACCGGCCCGGCCGAAGTGCCACGATGAGCGTGGCCTACGAGAACGTCTCGGACGGCTACGCCTGCTACTTTCAGGAGTACACGTATGTTCAGCTGGCACCTGCGCGTGTAGTGTGTGCACATATTATGTGAAATGTGGTTTATTATTTTTTTTTTTGCGTGCTACCCTCAGCGCCCGGATAGCATAGCCGATGTCACGGGCATCACTTTCTGAAAATTATTCATGGGGATCTAATGGTTATTTCAAGGAGCCATTCTTATTTCTTACGATGCATTGTCAAAGGGCTTATGTTGAAATACCTGAATTATTGGTAGGTCTCCCGTCTCGTATAAAACAACACATACGTATAAAACAAACCGTTCAATCTCGTTGCTTCCGTGTCTCAAACGTATGGAATTAAGGGGACATTGAGCATTGTGCGGTCGACCGGGATAAGTGCTGCACCCCCCCCCCCTCCCCACCCTGCCCCCACTGAGGGAGGGCCCCCTGCCGTGTCGCCGATTTCAGGGAGTCTCAGTCTGACACGCAGTACCTGCCGTACGACATCTGGAGCATCACACACGCCACCACCAACATGTTGGCTAAGACCCGCGGCGCCCAGACGCTGGTGCCCAGGAACCCCTACATCAACGACACCGTCAAAGGCAGGTGGTCCTCGTGGCGCGTGTATCCATCAGCAGCCTGCGGCGGGGCGGGAGGAGAGGAGGGATATCGAGCCGATGTGCCTGTTTAATGGAGTCTTTAGTACTAGCGAAGTGCCTATCATGTTCCGCTCACGATAGGACATGGATGTGCAGTTTGCGACAGTAACAAGTTAATGAGACCTTTACTCCACAAGAGATCTTTCGGGACGATGGGGTCCGGTTCGGGATCCTGTGGAGTAAAGTTGTTATGTTACGTTCAGCTACCAATTGCGGCTCACGGCGAATCACGCAGAGATGCAAACTCGCGCTACATTAATGTTTCCACGAGAACGCTGTTCTCTGACCTGTGAGCGCCACTGGTACGTGTTTGTGACCACCACTGGTCCGTGTTTGTGACCACCACTGGTCCGTGTTACAGGCTGTGACCGCCACTGGTTCGTGTTACAGGCTGGATCGGCACCCGTAACTCGCTCTCTGACCTGGACATCCACCGGATTCGCTCCTACTACGAGTGTTTCCCGCCGGCGCCTACCGAGGCGCCGCCCACCGACCCGCCCGTGACGACCAGTACCGCGGCTGAGACCACCACTACAGAGCCGACCACCACTACAGAGCCGACCACCACTACAGAGCCGACCACCACTATAGAGCCGACCACCACTACAGAGCCGACCACCACTACAGAGCCGACCACCACTACAGAGCCGACCACCACTACAGAGCCGACCACCACTACTTCAGAGCCGACCACCACTACTTCAGAGCCGACCACCACTACTTCAGAGCCGACCACCACTACAGAGCCTACAACCACTACGGAACCTACTACTTCTACTACGGAACCTACTACAACTACTACGGAACCGACCACTACAACCGAGCCAACAACAACGGCGCTGCCGACGACGCCGTCTCCCTCCGACCTGTGCGCCGGAGCCAGCGGTAAGCAATTCCGAGATCACGATCAACTATCACGCGACATTCTTAGCTGCTTTCGCCAATTTTCTACTTGCGATTCAAGGCACGGTGATTAAAAACGAAACCTGAGTGAGTCATCATCATTCATCAATTGATCGTTAACATTTAATTCATTTTCACTGGGAAGTGGAGCACAATTTAGTTCGCCGTTCAGTGGCCCTGCCGTCACCTGACATATCCCTGACCTGACCTGACCCAGACCTGACCTGACCCCGACCTGACCTGACCCAGACCTGACCTGACCCTGACCTGACTTGACGGAGACCTGCCCCTGACCCAGACCTGACCTGACCTGACCCTAACCTGATCCTGACGTGCCCTAACTCTGCCCTGGTCCTCTGGCCCTGTCCTAACCTTGACGTACCCCTGACCCTGCCCTGCCCTGACCTGACCCTGACCCTGCCCTGACCCCCCCTGTCCGGCAGACGGTGACCTGGTGGCGTTCCCCAGCGACTGTCACATGTTCGTCAAGTGTCTGCCCAGCATCCAGCGCTGGTACCCGTGCTGCTGCGGCCGCGACCACTACACCAACGAGACGCTGGTGTTCCGGCCAGCCGGCCAGCAGTCGGCCGCCGGCTGCGTGCGGCCCCGCGAGGCGCCCTGCTCCACCGAGGGCCAGCCGTCGCGCTGCGACCTGCCCGACGCCGACACGTGTAACGGTGACCGGGTGTTCACCGGCAGACCGCCGCTGACTGGACGCGTCTGAGAGACGGGGACGGGGGCGGCCGGAGCAGTGGGATGGGGGGGGGGGGGAGCTGGAGAGAACAGCGGAGCAGAGGGAGAGGAACGGAGAACATGGCTGCAGTGGGCAAATCATTGAGGGACACAGTCTCACCGATTGTCCGATTGTCGTGGACCATATCATCGCGGCTAAGCTAGCCTGGGGATACCCGAATAAAATTGTCAAAGACCTCCGATGAAGCGCAGAATCTTATTGTCATTTGCCCCGCTAGTGAATATTAATCCATCTTTGTGTAAGTGGAGGCGTCGGCTCCACTGTGACTGCACAGCAAAGAAGCTCCACTTTGTACCAGGGATTTCTAATGCTGCGTGAGCATTCGATGAGTTTAACCGGCACGGCATTTCTCTCATCCTTCAGCTGAGCTGGAGACCGACTGAAGGAATTAAATTCAGATTGGTAGATTCTTATTTCAATGCTGCAATAAATTATCTAAGGTGTATGTACATAATGTTATTTGTTAGGCATCAATAGACGATTTATTTAGTTATTCATATGTATTTGACCTGATACACGCATCATTGGCATAACATATATCATGAAGAGCAGCAGTACCTACCGGCCAACAGTTTGCAGTATCCTGACAGTAGTGTGCTCACGATACCCCCCCCCCCACACACACACATACGCAGACGACTCGTCAAGGTTACAACTCATACACTCACAGGACACTGGTAGAGGACTGCCGGGACTGAGGGAGCCACAGGGGCGCGTACTGCTCCGCCCCGTCATCACTTCTCTCAATATACACATTGCGGCTACTCTAGGAGCCAACACAACGTCACTAGCCACTCCAGCTCTAACGACGCACACGTCTGCGAGTTTACGAACGCACAGTCGGCATGTGCGCCGTGTATGTCCCTGGGTTTCTGATTCGTATCGCCACGGCCCAGCACGACCACCGGCGGCCTCCGTCGCACACGTTAGCGTCCTTTCGCCTGTTTGTGCCCCAGCCGGGGCCACTGGTGCGCACCAACACTCGTCTAGTAGCTACTACAGCGACCGGCGCCCGTCACAGCCTCCCCTAGAGCGCCATCCCGTTCACGGTGACGGAGCCGCCGCCGGCGGGCTCACCGCCGCCGTTTGTGTAGGTGGCAGCACCCTCGGCGCCGTCGTTGTTATAGGTGACGCTGCTATCGCCGCCGCTGTTGGTGTACGAGGTGTTGTGGTCGTCCACACCGTTGGCGTAGGTGGCGTCGCGGTTGGCGTACGTGCGGCTGGCCGGCGGCGACGCCGACCCGGACGAGAAGCTGTCGGCCTCGGCGTAGATGTCCTCCTCGTCGGGCCGTACGGGCAGCGGCCGGTTCTGCATGGGCGCTGCGCCGGCGGCAAACGCGCCGTTGTGCGCGCCGAACCGGCCGCCGTCAGCCAGGTTGGAGAACTTCATGATGGGTACGCTGCGCTCCTCCATCGCCTTCATGCCCTGCACGTTCTCAGAGTTTTTCACCACGTGGGCTCGCCTGAAACAGCCCAGGTCAGTGAGACTTGCGTAACAACGACTTCTGAGCGAGCTGAGGCGTTCTCACAGTCCACACTCCACACATTATAATCGCTCTTCTGAGCTTATCAATAACGAGAAGAGCGAGTAATCCAGGCCACCGTTCCGTGCTTCTATCCTCAGGATACTGAAATCCTTCTCCTCCACGCCGCAACCCCCCTCCGGACTGGACAGGCAACTTTATCTCATGTGGGCTGCTCCCTTGGAGCGGCACCGTTGCTCCCGAGGGAGCGCACCCCGTAGCCGGGTGCAGTGAGTACTTTGGGGCTGGGTAGCCTGTCCTCTGGACGGGCTCAGCCCTGGTGACTCACTAGGGCGCCTGCCCAGACCAATGTCTCCCCCTAATTCCTATCATCCTTCCGGCTCTGAAATGGTCTCGTCAGACCGAAAGAGCCTAACCTAACATAACAAATAACAAAATAACAAAAAAAAAAACAAGTAATCCAGGCAATAAATACCTGAACGACATCCTAATCATGCGTGAAAACTTCTCCATTTAACCACACTCCAGGTAGAAACAGGATTCCAGGCTCCTGGTTCATCGCTCTCCCTCCTGTCTCTCCCCCTCCTCTCTCCATCTCCCCCTCTCTCTCTCTCTCACCTCCTGAGGCAGAGCACAGCGGTGATGATGCTGACCAGCACAAACAGTCCGACGGCCACGCCGGCCCAGATGGCCGTGTTGCGCGCCGTGGCGTAGTCGTCCGGGCTGAAGCCGGCCGCCGGCACGTTCTGCGGTCCGTCCAGGCCGGCGTCCAGGCCCGCCGACACCGTCTCGTTCATCACTGAGGGAGGGAGGGGGGAGGGATGTTACTAAAGGCCCGCCGACACCGTCTCGTTCATCACTGACGGAGGGGGGGGGGGGAATGTTATTAAAGGCGCGCCGACACCGTCTCGTTCATCACTGACGGAGGGAAGGGGCCGGGGGGAGATGTCACTAAAGGAATGGAGGCAGACAATCTGTCATTAGGCTCCCTTACTGACTTCGTGCAGTCCCCGATGACGTGCTCAGCTTCCTTCATAATGACCTGTGCTGTATCCCTGCCCCACCCCCTAGTGACCGGTGCCCTCCCAGCGCCGTGTACTCACAGTCCCGACCAGGAGCTCCCCTGCCCTCTCGTTATCCCGGGTAGGTACTCACGGAGACACCGGATTTCGGGCCCCACCAGGGCTCCCCTGCTCTCTCGTTATCCCGGGTAGGTATTCACGGAGACACTGTGTGACGTGCCCGGACCAGGAGCTCCCCTGCCCTCTCGTTATCCCGGGTAGGTACTCACGGAGACACTGTGTGTCGGGCCCGGACCAGGAGCTCCCCTGCCCTCTCGTTATCCCCGGTTGGTACTCACGGAGACACTGTGTGACGTGCCCGGACCAGGAGCTCCCCTGCCCTCTCGTTATCCCGGGTAGGTACTCACGGAGACACTGTGTGTCGGGCCCGGACCAGGAGCTCCCCTGCCCTCTCGTTATCCCGGGTAGGTACTCACGGAGACACTGTGTGTCGGGCCCCGACCAGGAGCTCCCCTGCCCTCTCGTTATCCCCGGTAGGTACTCACGGAGACACTGTGTGACGTGCCCGGACCAGGAGCTCCCCTGCCCTCTCGTTATCCCGGGTAGGTACTCACGGAGACACTGTGTGTCGGGCCCGGACCAGGAGCTCCCCTGCCCTCTCGTTATCCCGGGTAGGTACTCACGGAGACACTGTGTGTCGGGCCCCGACCAGGAGCTCCCTGCCCTCTCGTTATCCCGGGTAGGTACTCACGGAGACACTGTGTGTCGGGCCCCGACCAGGAGCTCCCTGCCCTCTCGTTATCCCGGGTAGGTACTCACGGATACACTGTGTGTCGGGCCCGGACCAGGAGCTCCCCTGCCCTCTCGTTATCCCGGGTAGGTACTCACGGAGACACTGTGTGTCGGGCCCGGACCAGGAGCCGTCGGCCAGGCAGCGCCGGGTGAAGGGTCCGTGTCGCAGGTACTTGGGGAAGCAGTGATACTCGACCACAGAGTCGTAGGCCGTGCTCTGGTTCACCTGGTACACGCGGCCGTTCTCCACGGCGTTCAGCGGGCCGCAGTCCACCCCTGGAGGAGAGCAGGTCAGAGGTCAGATACAGAGGTCAGATACAGAGGTCAGGCACAGAGGTCAGAGAGCGGAGGAGGTCAGATACATAGCTTAGAGGTCAGATGCAGAGGCCATAGGTCAGATATAGAGGTCAGATACAGAGTCCAGAGGTCAAATACAGAGACCAGCGAGCGGATGTAGGGTTCAGATACAGAGATCAGACAAGATCTCAGTAGTCAGATAGATACTTCAGAGAGTGGAGGTCATATACAGAGGTCAGAGGTCACATAAAAAGGTCAGAGGTCAACAATGATACATCTGAGGAGGTTGCAGGTCAAATTTAGATAAGAAATCAGGAAAGGTCAGAGGGTGCCTGAGACTAGAGGTCAGAGGTCAGAGAAGGCAAACTAAGGTTGTCCGTTGGCACGACTCGCTTGCGAAAGTCTGGTCACGGCAGGTCAATCAAATAAACGCAAACGCTCGGTATAAAGGCACTCAGTACCCACTACGTACTCTGCAATCGACTGGCAGGTAGGCGCCGTACTTTGTACTCGGTGCTTTGTACTCTGTACTCTGTACGTACGCGGTACGCGGCACTCGGTACTCGGTACTCGGTACTGGATTCTCTGTACTCTGTGTACTCACACTGACAGGTGGGCTCTGCTCCGCCCCAGTGTCCGGTACTGGTTACTCTGTCTGTACCCTGTACACTCTGTACTCACACTGACAGACCTGGGCTCGGCGCCACCCCAGTGTCCGGTACTGGGTACTCTGTACCCTGTACTCTGTACTGGTTCTCTGTACACTGTGTACTCACACTGGCAGGTGGGCTCTGTTCCGCCCCAGTGTCCGGTGCTCAGACACCGTCGTACCGCGGCGCCGATCAGCTCGCGTCCCTTGCCGCAGTTGTAGGTGGCCGTGTCACCGACCTTCAGTCCAGAGGTTACCACGGAGAGCACCTCCGCCGGCGTCTCGGGCACCTCGCACACAATTTCTGTACAGAGGACAGAGGCAGACAGGTCAGACGGGGTCAGACAGATCAGATCGTCTCCGGAACCTCACCTCACACACGGTCTCTGCGAAAGGACAGAGTGGTCTATACCGTTCGTACCGGTGCAGAGGGGCGGCTGGCCGCTCCAGGGCCCAATCTTACCAATGCCGTGAATAGGATTTGGCAGCACTGGCCGGAGTTTACGGCACTGATATCAAAGATGTCCTTTTTATTTACCTCCAGGTAATCTTGTCCAATGATTTTGATAGCGTGAATGATTATGAATGTCGCCAGAACGAATGAATAAGTGAATGTGGAATAGTTCTGAATGTTACCAAATGCCGTGAATGCGCATTCACGGCATTTGGTAAGATTGGGCCGTTCTGTGCAGTGTATACTGTATATACAGTACGTACCAGTGCAGAGCGGCGGCTGCCCGCTCCAGGTGCCGTTCTCCAGACAGAGTCGCCGGTTCAGGCCCTCCATGCGGTAGTTGACGTCGCAGCCGTACTCGGCGATGGCGCCGTAGTAGGTGGCGTTCAGCGGCAGCGTGACTCGGCCGGAGAGCGCCGGCTCCGGCGCGCCGCAGTCCACGTACACACAGGACGGAGGCAGGCCCGACCAGGCGCCCGTGCCGCGGCATGAGCGCAGAGCGTCACCCACCACCTGGCGGCGGCGGCCGGAACTACCGTCAGAGACAACTCACACCGAAACACGGTCCGACAGACTGTGGCAGCTCGAATAGACGAGACGAAGTCGGATTCTCAATCGCTAAATTTATTCGATTACATGTGCTATTCGATTACACTTAAGCACGAGCATTGATGAACTAAAGCGGTCCAAGTTAGCCGAACATAGTCGGTCCGTCTGATTGAATACCCACGCACCTTGTATCCTGGCTTGCACTTGTAGGTGACGGTGGATCCGACCCGGAAGGAGGTGGACTGCGGCGCCAGGTTCCCGGTCAGCTGGCGGGCCTTCTGGCGCATCCGGTCGTTGCCCGAGATACTGAGCACAGAGTTCCTGGGAAACACATGAGGGGACCCCGTGAGACGGGAGGGTTCGGACAGCGGCGGTCTGAAATCAGCGTCATTATATAGCGCTCCTTTTTTATTGTTACTCTGACTCCTAACCCTCGCCCCGTTGGGGGGGGGGGCCATTTTGGCCCCGCCCCTGTGGTTTTTCCTGAATAGCAAGAAAACGGCGGCGCGCAGCGCCGCCAAATTTTCAGTACCTTCCCGGGCATCAATTTGACACCTTCACACCAAATTTCAAGTCTTAGGTCACCTTAGGTCAGGAGTTATTGAGGTCAAACTGAGGTCATGTTCGAGCAAAAATGAGCAAAAAACATGCAATCTTGAAACGCTCACCAAATCTACAGTTAACAAGCAATTTCAAAGTTCTTTATATGGTCTAGTAGACAAAAAGCGGCGCTACAAAACTGCTATCTCGGATTTTCAAAATTTTTGGTTTTTGACCAAGAAAAATTCAAAAAATTGATTTTTTTAGAAAAACTTTGAAAAAATCCAAAATTTTTCCGAATTTCGAAAAAACCGGAATATATGTGATAGTCCCAGCGCTCTTCTATAAACATACCAAATTTCAAATCGATATCTCGTTCTTGGCCAAGTTATAGCGAAAAAAAAACTGTTCAAAAATGATGACGTCAAATTTTTGAACTCAATTTTTAGCAATTCTAGACCACCTACGGCAAAACAAAGACCACCATTGAACTCCCCGTGACGATCTGCATCGATTCGATACCCATTTTATGCAAAAATATTAACTTTGAAATTTGACATAATTTGACCTGACCTTGACCTGACCTTGACCTGACCTTGACCAAAACGTGATCTAAGCTGGCCCCAAAGGCTGCCTGACCCATATAATCGCATTTGTCATGTAAAATGGACCATAAAACATGTATCACACGACACTTTCATATTGTGACCCCCCCGTGACCTGACCTCTGTGACCTGACCTGGTATCAGTGACCTCAAATAGCAAAATATGTGTTTGAAGAACATTTCCCCATCGATGATTTTCAATGAAATGCATTTTACTCGATTTTACAACGCATTTCTTGAAGTGCCTGTAAACGGTGAAAATTGGACCTTTGACCTGACCTGTGACGTCATCGGTTTGACCTAGGTCAATAAAATTGGGTCACAAGGTAGTTCCCCGTTGGGGCTATCCAACGCCGTTTACCGCTTGTCGCTATGTTGCGTGGTTCTCGAGATCTTAGGGGGGGGGGGGGCAAAATGGCCCCCCCCAACCGGGCGCGTTGCTCGGCAGAGCCCAACGGGGCGCGGGCTAACACCACTCTTCAGTCTCCTCCCATTTCTCCTCATCTTCATCCCCCCACTTACTCTGTCCTCTGGGTCGCCGCAGCGCACCTCTCCCTCTCCCTCCCCTCTCCCCTGTTCTACTCACTCTGTTCTCTCGGGGTCGCCGCAGCGCACCTCTCCCTCTCCCTCCCCTCTCCCCCGTTCTACTCACTCTGTCCTTTCCGGGTCGCCGCAGCGCACCTCTCCCTCTCCCTCTCCTCTCCCCCGTTCTACTCACTCTGTCCTCTGGGTCGCCGCAGCGCACCTCTCCCTCCCTCTCCCCCGTTCTACTCACTCTGTCCTCTCCGGGTCGCCGCAGCGCACCCATCCCCTCCCTCCCTCTCCCCCGTTCTACTCACTCTGTCCTCTCGGGGTCGCCGCAGCGCACCTCCTCACAGACGGGCGCGCTGCCCGACCACCGACCGTCCACCTGGCAGGTGCGCAGCCGGTCTCCGACCAGCTGGTAGTTTCGGGCGCACGAGTACTCGAGCTCGCTGCCCAGGTACGTCTGGCCGGTGACGTACTGCACGTCCCCGTGCAGCACGGCGAACGCCCTGCCGCAGTCGATGTCTGTCGGGCGGGGCAGAGACAGACGAGCCGGTCAGAACGGGTGCAGCAGCGGGAAGACACGACATTGGGCAAATCCCGATCGGGGCGAACATCCAGAGCTTGGTGACAATTTAACTGAATGCAGTTCTCCCCGGGTCAATATCTTTCCGTGTTCCCTGGGTCCATAATTCATATCCCATTATCCCCCTTCCCCTTCCCACTCACATTTGCAGAGAGGCACGTCTCCGGACCAGGTGCCGTCTTTAACCCTCCCCCCCTGTTCCCCTTTCGACTCACATTTGCAGAGCGGCACATCTCCGGACCAGGTGCCGTCTCGCTGGCAGCGGCGGACGGGCTCTCCGACCAGCAGGTGGCCCACGTTACAGTGGTACTCGACGTCCGAGTTGACGTGGAAGTCGTACCCAGTGACGTAGCTCTCCTCGGGAACGTCCGGCTCGCCGCAGTCAATCACTGAAAAATCAAATGAAGGAGTGGGGGTCAGAGTTTCAGTCAATTACTGACGGAAGGGACTCATTCACAGCCACATTCACAGTCACATTCACTAATATAGTAACAGCCACAGCCCACAACCAGTTTCAGTTACAGCCATAACCAGTTACAGTTACGTCTAAACGCGAGTACTGGCTAAATCAACCAGCCAATCACAGTAATGTTAAATTCACAATCAGCCATTCAATACGTCGTCAGTTATGCTATGCCAGTTACGGGTAGATATATCCTAGTCATGGACATCATCAGCGCTCGCTCACATTCGCAGAATGTGTCCTCGCCGCTCCAGGTGCCGTCCTCCTGGCAGGTTCTCTGCTCGGCCCCCAGCAGCCAGTAGTCAGCGCCGCAGCTGAACTCGGCCGAGGCGCCCAGGTAAGTCTCGGAGACGGCCACCTCGCCGTGCTGGGGCGCCGCCGGCCGGCCGCAGTCGATCAGCCGACAGACCGGCGGCGGGTCGCTCCACGCCCCGCCCAGCTGACACGTGACCACCGCGCGGCCAATCAGCTGGTGGCCCGGCGCGCACGTGAACGTGACCTCGGTGCCGGCCGTCAGGTCACCCGACTGGGTCACCGTGGCGTTCTCAGGCGTCTCCAGCGCCGGACACAGCGAGTCTGAAATGGCCGAACGGGGAGGGAGTCCACGGCAGCGGTTATAGGCTGAGCTGAGAGGTGACACGATCGCAGTTGAACTATAAACGAACACCGAGTGGTGAAAACAACTGTGTCAATAAACGACACATCCTATATGTTTGATGCCCATAAATTCACGCGTAAACGTATAACAAGCAAGCGAAGAAAGTTTGTAGGCGGTCGGAAGCTGAATGGTAAAATGCAGCGTTTCAGCAATGAGACTGTATAATGGCTTCACTACGATTCTCATAGCCTTTCGTTTTCCTCGCCCTAACCACCCTTCTAACGACTAAACCGCATGCATTTACTATCTACACCGTGTCGCAAGGCAAAGGCGCACACGTTATATCAAGATTCAGTCTTGCAAAAGTGGACTGGATAACAGATAACATTATTTCGGCCACTCTATCTCACGGTATAATCTGGTTTGTCCCTTGTACATAGCTTGCCGGTTTGTTACTAATTGCCCATTGCCCGGACAACCTTAATTTTATCGTATTTCAGATGCAGACGATAACATTTCAGTTAGACCGTAAATGGTACATCAGAATGTTTCGGTTTAGCCAGATACCATAACCAAACCATTGCAACATACTTTTCAGCTGAGTTAGTGCTTAACTGAATTTACACATTTTATACATCTCACCGAAAAGTCACCATGTCAATGTCACTATAGATTCAAAGCGCACCCATACCGGCGTCTCCCTGCCCCGCTACCGGCCCCACCATCCCCCGTATCGCCGCCCTGTACTCACAGAGACACTGCGGCGGCTCTTCGGTCCACGCGGCACCACCCCACGCCCCGCCCTACACTCACAAGAGGCACCGCCGTCCCCCGTCCCGCCGCCCTGAACTCACAGAGAAACCGCCGTCCCCCGTCCCGCCGCGCTGTACTCACAGAGACACTGCGGCGCCTCGTCGGACCACGCGCCGCCGTCGGAACAGGTGCGCAGCTGCTCGCCGACAAGCGTGTAGTTGGCGTCACAGACGTACTCGGCGCGCGAGGCGTACGTGGTGCGGTTGTCGACCAGTGTCAGCTGGCCGTGAGCGATCTCGTCCAGCGGCCCGCATTCGACGACTGTCGGCCACAGCAGGGGAGAGGACGTCAGTGGGGTGCCGTGGGGAACATATACAGGGGAACATGATCACCAATCGCCAAAGAATCATATGTAAAAGCTTCACTCCGAATCGGGCCACATAAGAGACTTTGGCCTGGAAATGGTCAAGATCGCCGTTGTCACAGGTTAAGCAGGGTCACCGTTCAGTAATTTAGTATCACTCAGTGTAATTTCATCATCCGGAACCGGGAGAGAGCTATCACTGCGGTCGGGGAGTGGGATTTCGGTCGTCGGGTCAAAGGTCCGGTCTCTGCCGTAAGCCGACGGGGCACGGGAAGACCCTAGAAAGGTCACGGAAAGGTCATGGGAAGGTCACGGAGAGATGACGGAAAGGTCTCACATCAGTTGGGGAATTCGCGAGATGGAACGGGTCGGCTAAAGGCGAAAGTCGGCAAATGATAGACCAGTGCTGTGCATTTATGACGGCTGAGCTAACTATAAATTACGCTATTACACGCGACAGTCACACAGCATGTGATAAATTCGGGTGAGTCTGTAAAGTGTACCCTGTTCAGTGTCATAGTGTGCAATGCGCAACAACAGCTCCGGAGTGCACTAACAGGCATACGTCGGGTAGGTGCCCGGTACTCGGTACACTGTGTATTCTGTACTCTGTACCCTGTACTCTGTACTCTGTACTCTGTACTCACACTGGCAGGTGGGCTCGGCGCCGCCCCAGTGCCCAGTACTCGGTACTCGGTACTCGGTACTCGGTACTCAGTAATCAGTACTCTGTACTCACACTGGCAGGTGGGCGCGGCGCCCGACCAGAAGCCCGTCTGCTGGCACGTGCGCACCTCGTCCCCGACCACCTTGTTGCCCTCGGGGCAGCGGTAGAAGATTGTACGGTTCAGGCCGAAGTCGCTGCCCACGATAGTCGTGTTCTCGTTCTTGTCCGGACTGCCGCACATCTGGGGCTCTGGGGAGAGGGGGTAGAGGGCCGTCAGAGCGAGCGAACGAAAGAGAGAGAGAGAGAGAGAGAGGGAGAGAGAGAGAGAGAGAGAAAGAGAGAGAGAGAGAAAGAGAGAGATAGAGAGAGAGAGAGAGAGAGAGAGAGAGAGAGAGAGAGAGAGAGAGAGAGAGAGAGAGAGAGAGAGAGAGAGGGAGGAAGGTGGACGGAGTGGTGGAGGACTGTCAGAGGGCAGCCGCGGAGAGTGGTGCTAAAAGTTGAGAGCAGCACGGACAATTATCACATGTGTTACCCATTCAGATGTGATTGCAGTTGATGTAAAATGATCCTTGAAGGCCTCATTTAGTCACTGCGGCTTACAATTACCAGGCTGTATTATGCTCTCATAAAGCCGAGACACCCGTAATAAACGTAATTAGAGGCGGGTTTGTGTCAACGTCTTTATAGGAGATTGAATTACCGAGACATGACGTAATGACATGAAGGGAACTCGGGGAAAATGGACTGCGAGTTGATAAATAAGCCGTTCATTTGGTTTCAACAGACATTGCGCTAAATGAAGTCAAATGCATCAACAGTTCTAGTTATATTTACTAGAACTGTTTATTATATATCAACGTGTCTATTTATATTTACGTGGCATTTACTCGGCTTCAGAACAATAAAGTAATCCGAGGCCCTTTTCACTGCATGACCTCACTGATCACTAGACTTCACTCAGTGCGGTCTCTTACAGTTGACCCGACTTACAGTTACTGTACTCGCAGATCCAGTGGAGGAAGTATGTGTTAGCAGTTAGAGGTGAATTTACTCACTGTACTCGCAGATCCAGTGCAGGTAGTCTGTGATAGAGTTGTATTTACTCACTGTACTCGCAGATCCAGTGGAGGTAGTCTGTGTTACTATGTATTTACTCACTGTACTCGCAGATCCGGTGGAGGTAGTCTGTGTTATATTGTGTCTACTCACTGTACTCGCAGATCCAGTGGAGGTAGTCTGTGTTACTATGTATTTACTCACTGTACTCGCAGATCCAGTGGAGGTAGTCTGTGTTATATTGTGTCTACTCACTGTACTCGCAGATCCAGTGGAGGTAGTCTGTGTTATATTGTGTCTACTCACTGTACTCGCAGATCCAGTGGAGGTAGTCTGTGTTATATTGTGTCTACTCACTGTACTCGCAGATCCAGTGGAGGTAGTCTGTGTTATATTGTGTCTACTCACTGTACTCGCAGATCCAGTGGAGGTAGTCTGTGTTACTATGTATTTACTCACTGTACTCGCAGATCCAGTGGAGGTAGTCTGTGTTATATTGTGTCTACTCACTGTACTCGCAGATCCAGTGGAGGTAGTCTGTGTTATATTGTGTCTACTCACTGTACTCGCAGATCCAGTGGAGGTAGTCTGTGTTATATTGTGTCTACTCACTGTACTCGCAGATCCAGTGGAGGTAGTCTGTGTTATATTGTGTCTACTCACTGTACTCGCAGATCCAGTGGAGGTAGTCTGTGTTACTATGTATTTACTCACTGTACTCGCAGATCCAGTGGAGGAAGTCTGTGTTATATTGTGTCTACTCACTGTACTCGCAGATCCAGTGGAGGTAGTCTGTGTTATATTGTGTCTACTCACTGTACTCGCAGATCCAGTGGAGGTAGTCTGTGTTATATTGTGTCTACTCACTGTACTCGCAGATCCAGTGGAGGTAGTCTGTGTTATATTGTGTCTACTCACTGTACTCGCAGATCCAGTGGAGGTAGTCTGTGTTATATTGTGTCTACTCACTGTACTCGCAGATCCAGTGGAGGTAGTCTGTGTTATATTGTGTCTACTCACTGTACTCGCAGATCCAGTGGAGGTAGTCTGTGTTATATTGTGTCTACTCACTGTACTCGCAGATCCAGTGGAGGTAGTCTGTGTTATATTGTGTCTACTCACTGTACTCGCAGATCCAGTGGAGGTAGTCTGTGTTATATTGTGTCTACTCACTGTACTCGCAGATCCAGTGGAGGTAGTCTGTGTTATATTGTGTCTACTCACTGTACTCGCAGATCCAGTGGAGGTAGTCTGTGTTATATTGTGTCTACTCACTGTACTCGCAGATCCAGTGGAGGTAGTCTGTGTTATATTGTGTCTACTCACTGTACTCGCAGATCCAGTGGAGGTAGTCTGTGTTATATTGTGTCTACTCACTGTACTCGCAGATCCAGTGGAGGTAGTCTGTGTTACTATGTATTTACTCACTGTACTCGCAGATCCAGTGGAGGAAGTCTGTGTTATATTGTGTCTACTCACTGTACTCGCAGATCCAGTGGAGGTAGTCTGTGTTATATTGTGTCTACTCACTGTACTCGCAGATCCAGTGGAGGTAGTCTGTGTTATATTGTGTCTACTCACTGTACTCGCAGATCCAGTGGAGGTAGTCTGTGTTATATTGTGTCTACTCACTGTACTCGCAGATCCAGTGGAGGTAGTCTGTGTTATATTGTGTCTACTCACTGTACTCGCAGATCCAGTGGAGGTAGTCTGTGTTATATTGTGTCTACTCACTGTACTCGCAGATCCAGTGGAGGTAGTCTGTGTTATATTGTGTCTACTCACTGTACTCGCAGATCCAGTGGAGGTAGTCTGTGTTATATTGTGTCTACTCACTGTACTCGCAGATCCAGTGGAGGTAGTCTGTGTTATATTGTGTCTACTCACTGTACTCGCAGATCCAGTGGAGGTAGTCGAGCTGACAGCTGACGTCGTTCCAGAGCCAGTCACGGCCTCCATCCAGCACCACGCAGTTCTGTTCGCCCACGTAGCTGTTGGGCTGGTCGCGGCCCCAGCGTGGCTGGACCACCTCAGTGCCTGGGGGCAGCGGCAGGGGGGACGATCAATGATTGGGGGGGACAGAGCAGCCAGCCGCACCACCTCAGTGCCTGGGGGCAGCGGCAGGGGGGACGGTCAGTGAGGGGCTCCTCTGTCGCAGCCACAGCACAACACTGGCATTGAAACCACTGATTGATGCAGTGAGGTATCTGGAGTCACGCCCCGTTTCCTAGACGTCCGCAAGGTGTCAATCTGTAGAAAACACACACCAACCCATCGTCGACCCCGCGCCACTCACCGTCGACCCAGCGCCACATGTCCTTGCCGGGCACCTTCCTGATGCCCACCCAGATGAGCTGGGTGCGCATGGCGGCCTTGCTCCGCTCCAGGTGGTCCAGCAGGTAGGCGAACGCCGGGTCGGGCAGCGTGTGCACCAGGTCGCCGCTCATACGCTGACAGTGCTGGCGCGCCTTCAGGAAGTCGGCGCCCTTGTTCAGCTGCAGCTCGTAGCACGTCTTGTTGTAGAGGTTCAGACTGTCCAGAGGCACGTCCGGGGCGCACTGTTCCTTGGCAAACTCTGCGGAGAACAGGGCCGGGTCAGCCGGCCTATCTTAGAATAAATATATCATGATAATAGAAGTTAGCCTTGGTTAAGCAGCTTAGCATTCTGGCGCATCTGGTACGCACGTTTCCAAGTCTCCACTCTAAACAATGTATTTTCCATGAAATGACTGTCCTGTGGATTAGATATTGATTTAAGTACAACAAGTGATCGCTGCGCCTATTCAGCTCGAATAAATAGCAGGTCATCAATCTGCTGGCTATAAGAGTTTCCTTTCTGACAAAAGATACGGTGCACACAACAAATAACGGCCGCAGATTGGCATTTATCACATCACAATGGCATGACGAGCATGAAGAAAACGGTTATAAGCCGTCACATATAATGCGGTGAGACGCCTAGCACCATAAAACGTCTCAGTAATGCATGGCTGCACACGTCTGTACCAAAACTGCCAAACTGAGCATCAACGCGATACTACAGTTATGAAATCGCCATTGTTTTCCCCCATACAGAAACCAAGCTTCCCAGGCATTTCTCCCAGCACGATAAGGCGTGCGAACTCCCGGTCGAAACTCCACCGAACCGCCGAGCCATTCGCCTCAGCTCCTGAACCGCCGTGCGGTTCCCGGCTGCACGCTGGGAGGCCGGGCGTGACAGATTCGCCAATCCCGCGGCGGATAGGGGCTCAGAGAACGACCACAGAGGAGAACCGTTCCACCCACCCGCTCCAGACGCGGCAGGAGTCGCTGAGAAGCTGCTGTTATGAAGAACGGTTCCGCCCGCCCGCCCCGGACTCGGCAGAGATTCGTGCGATGTTGCGATTCCGCCCCACCCCAGACTCGCCAGAAGACTGCGACGCCGCACATAACTAGTTCCGCCCGCCCGGACTTGCTCTAGCTCTGTGCGATGCCGCGGTCACGCACACCGAATACCACTCGGTGGCCGGCGTGAATAATGCTTTCGCTCATGCCGGCGGGGCGCGGCGGGGGCCGCGTGGAGCAGCGCGGCGAGGCAGATACAGCACATGGCGGCGAGATGTGGCGCAATGTGGCGGTCGGCGCGCGACGGGTTGTGTAACTGGTCTGCGGCCCGGCGCGGCTGCCTGTGGTCGCCGCTCTGGAGCGGGTGGGGTAGGTTAGAGCAAACTCCAGCTGCCGGCTGACAGCCATTCACGAGCTGGGACACATAGGCGGTCGGGACAACTCCCATTCACAATCACGAAACGCACATCTCGCACAAAACAGCATAGCGGAAGTCGTTCGTTGATATTCTCTCACGTTCCTGAGAAATTCGGCTGCCTGGTGGGAGTTCAGCGCACAGCGGAGCGACATAACGGTGCGCAATGCGAATCAATTTGTCGCGGCGCGCCTCGGCACGGTGACGGCACGCGGCGGCCTCTGACTGACAACTCAGCGGGCGCGATCTACCGCTCTGGTCGTGCCTCCGGTCCGCAGTGGCAGCGGCTGCAGGCTGCCGCCCACCCGTTACCTCCGCGGTGACGCAAGGGCGCGCCACGAGCTCCCTGATTAATGACGTCATGTTTCTCTCGGCTCGTCTCGTCCGCCCTTCCATCCAGGATCCATGGGGAGCAGTCACGAGTGGCCTTGTTCTGGGCGAGTTAGGCGGCCCTCCCGCCGGGGAGCAAGGTCAAACGGTGCTCGGCTGGCGTCTCCTAAACACTCTAATAGCGCTGCAGCGGCTCATCATCCTACAGCGCGCCGGAGGTGGATGTCGCCCGTCATGTTGCAGGCATGGTGCAGACGGCGATATTCCAACAGTGGGCTAGCATTTGTTGGATCATATTTTGTTCACCGTAGACGTACCGTGGTCCGTGGTAAGGGGTATTTTAATAATCAGCGTGGTCTGCAAATAATTAAATCTTATCGAAATCAATGTAAAGTGCTAGCGAGTATCGTGATGTAAAAGGAAGTATACCTTCTCTCTAGCAGGACATGTGCCAAACACGTCAACCTCAGCACGCCTGACTAGCTGCATGTTGTCAGCGCGCGTTACAACTGTTCCTGTAAAAGGTCTTCACCTCCTTCGTCAACACCTACCACCCGTTTATCGCACTCACCCTGCGAGCTGAAGACCTGCACCTCGCAGAGCGACAGCGCCCCCTCGACGCCGACCATCTGGATGAACACGTATCGGCCCGTCATGGGCCGGGCGCACTTGAAGTCCTTCTCGACGCCCTCCTCCAGCGTGCCCGGGAACCAGGCGCACAGACGGTTCTGCTGGAGCGTCGGACTGGTGCCCACGCGGATCTCAATGTCCTGCAGCGGCTTCTGACCTGCGGGTGGGTCAGAGGGGAGGGGGATCAGAAGGAGGCTGACGGAGGGCGGGGTTAGCTGGAAGGTCAAAGGGCGGGGTCAGGTGAGGGTGACCTGTGGATCTGGGTGGGAGGGTCAGAGGGCGGTGTCAGGTGGGGGTGACCTGGAGAGGGCAGGGTCGTGTGGAGGGTGGCCCGAGGATGGCTCGAAGGGCGGGGTCAAGTGGAGGCGGGGGCTGCAGAAGGCTGCTGAAGCAGTTCAGGGCGGGTTGGGATATGGAAGCGGCGCCGTGGTTGATAACGTATCCACACCATAGCCATTAGACAGGAGGGCAGCCGAGGAGGCGCACCGCCTCAAACATTGTGCAGACCGTAAACTAGTGGAGAGGACGGAGAGTAGGTCAAAGTCAAAGTTCGTTAGGTGTTTAGGTTGTGCACCAAAAACTGCAGAAATCGTGACACACCATTGGGTAGGAGGGGAATGGGGACATGAACTGAGCAGTGGGCTTGATCTGCCGTCAGAACTGACGTCGCCTATCAAAAGATCAGACCGTTCGGATGCAGCCTGCCTGCGCGACCCAGTTTCTGGGCCGTATAAGGGAGGAAGGTGCGGCAAAAACTGCAGCCCCGACCAGCGAGATATCGGAGGGATAAACGGGAGAGAACGTCGGGAACGGGATTTTGACAGGAATGGTCGTCACAACATCGAGCGGGGCTGAACTGAACAAAACTGATGATAAAATATGAAAATGTTCTTATAAGAGAAATAGTGAGAACTGAGTGCTTCTTATTGATCGGCCGGTCTGAGATCTGCTCTGTGAAAATCAAACAAATGTACTTACTTTGAATGGGCTGGAGATATCAGATAATGATATTTTTTGCGCTTTTCATCGCATTTGAAAATTGCATCAACGCGGTTACTCGTGTTTTGATGTCTATGACGTTTTATATTTAGTCTATTTCATTACAAAATATATCCACTAAATCGCAGATGTAGTACCTAAATCAATGAATTTTACACATCACTTGATAAGTAATTAGAAAGGTTTCACCAAAATCTATTGGATATCTATCGTATGAAAGATCACCGGCAATCACATTTCTGTCGGACAAGACCACCTCTCTGTCTCGGTCTCAGTATGCAGTATTTTTGTTGGACGGGACCGGGGCCGGGAGAAGAGGGGGAGGGGTGGACCGGTCAGCCACCCGCCCACACCAGTCGAGGATGTATGAACGACCGTCCGTCCGTCCGTCCGCCCGTCCGTCCGTCGGGCAGAGCTGGTCTGACCGGTACCGGACGGTGTCACCCCCTCCCCGTCCCCCCGCTCCCCGCGCGGTGACACGGGCCACCTCTGCAGCCGGCGCGGTGACCGCGTGACCTCCACCCCGAGCGGGGCGGGGGGGGGGGACTCGGTTACCGTCCTTAGACGGCCCTACCCTACAAACAGGGTGTAACGGGACTCGGGAGACTCTGCGCGGCAGACGCAGCCGGTCAGGAGGGGTTCAGAGAAAGGCGGTCAAACCAGGGCAAAGTCGTGACAGTTAAACTGTGCAGTGGGTTTTGCGAATTACGATAGCCTTGGAGTCATGAATGAAGCTCGCTTATGGCTGCTACGGGAGGAGTGACAACACGAGCTTAAAACTCTCATGAATTACGAAGCTAGTTTGATAAACGTTTTACGATTGAAAAGCATTGCACTTGATTACGGACTTTTAGGTGTAACTTGCGGCATGGGCATTGGACTCGCTATGCAGCCGTGCCTGCAGCTGAGGCAGCTGCACAGTGCACGTACCGCAGCAGCCGCGCGTGGTGATGCGGATCAGGTCGACCGGGTAGTCCGCCAGCAGGTCGACGCGCCACCAGGGCGACGCCTGCTGCAGCGTCTCCGTGCACCGGCCGCCGTCGTGCAGCGTGCTGCGCTGGCCGTCGTTGCCGTTGGAGGCCGGCCCGCCGCGCGCCGTCGACGACTGGTTCGACGGCTTGCCCTCCGCCACGTTCGTAGCTGGAAGTGCAGGGGAAATGTCAGTCGTCCGTTCAACAGCTGTAAAAGAGATTTGGTGCAGACTTGGTCAAATTAGTTGCATTGGCCGTGCGTCGTGAAAGCGGCTAATATATTTCAGAATCTGAGCTAAAATTTAAACGCTCATTGTAACCGAAGGTTTGTTGTCAATAGTTAAAACACTATTCTTTAGAATTGTGTTTTTCAATTGAAAAACAAATCTGAGTTCCCTGACAATTTGGGAAAAGCTGCCTGTATAGGATTTGTGGTGTCATTTCCGTTGGACGTATGTTAACATAACTCGTACAAAACCATCGGGAAATTTCGCCTTTTCCTAAAATAAAATTGCGTCTTTCCAACTGAGTCGTTTGGGTACGCGAGACGCTTGTCTTACCAACAACCTAGTAGAAGTCTGATTCCAAGCTCTGTTGTGCGGCAGACCTATACCTAAGGAAACAACACAGTCTTACAACGAGCAAGGCAAGGCGAAAGTCAGTTCACATGACATTTCGACCTGATCAGTTAGGGAAATTACATTATTCGTTAGACGGTAGCCGACCCTTAATTCAGCTTGGAAAGTAACCAGTCACCATCACAGGGCCTCGGCTAAGGAATTTTGACTGGTGGGCCACTTGGGCAGCGACATGGACTGACCTTCGTAGCCAGAGCCCCCTCCCCCCCCATTTTCGATTTCTCCCCAGATTTCGGCCACTTTATTCTGCAAAAAACGGATGGCATTAAAAAATGTAAAAAAACGGGGCTCGTCCCCCCCCCCGACTCTTCAGAGAGAGAAGAGAGAGTAAGGACCCTCAACCCTCTCAGTGGTGATACTCCGGCGGTGCACATAAAGTTGCACAAGTATGCACAAAATATTGACGCAGATTATAAAACTTTGGACGATAACTTACGGCCGGTCGGATGTTAAAAATCAGCGAGCCCTGAATGGATCGCTCGCCGACTAGTTAGTCGGAGATTCGGAAGCGGTCGGACGGGATCGGGCGTTGTCGGGTGGATCGGGAGGAATTGTGAACAGCACAAGTGCAACTTTATATATAAAGTGGGTTGTAGCAGGAACCCCCAAAAAAGGGTTGTAGCAGGAACCCCAAAAGGGGCATTGTAGCAGCAGCCCCAACATCTCTGAAAATGATCATTAAGCCTATTGGTGTCGCATGGAAAAGAATTCACCCAAAAGCGCACTGCGCAACCCTAATATTTTCTTAAAAAAAAAACTAAGTTATGTACACTTCTAGTGAACAATGTCCCAAACTTCAGATTTCTCTTGGGTGTCTGAGTGGAAAATTCTAGCCACCCAAAATGTGAAAGTGGAAAATTATCCATTCTTTTTCTTGAGTGTCATCTTCAGCCCGAATGAGAAATTTTTGGAACGCTGACTGTGAACGGTTCGAAATTCGTCCAACTGGTCAGATGTGCGACTGCAAGCATCATACCGTTCGTGAAGACGCATAATATCGCTTGCAGACTTCAATCGGCTGGAAGTTGCCGACACTATCTGTAATTGACAGAGGCAAACGTCTTTCACGATTATTGCATGAAATTTAAAGCCTCGGTTACACTTAAACGGATTGGACCAACGGACGAGAAACGGACGAGAACTGTCAGCGTCCGGTGATGTCCATTTGTTTCCGTTGGACGTCCGTTTGTCATTCTTTAATATCCGTTCCATGTCCGGTGGTGTCCGGTTGAGCACACCGGACACCACCGGACATGGAACAGATATTAACGGATGAGAAACGGACATCCAACGGAAACGAACGGACATCCCCCGGACATCAACGGACGCCGTCCGTTTCTCGTCCTTTGGTCCAATCCGGTGAAGTGTGACCGGGGCTTAACCTACGGCTGTCTCAAGAAACCGGGAATTGTGATGGTATTAGGCGGGCAACGACGATCAAGTTCTTACTTTTAATAAATGCAACAATGTAGTAGGGCCTCTGTCTCTGTCTGTATCACAATGTTACCTATGTCGTGATGTAAAATGTGAAAACTTCGATTTTTCAGAAAATTACTGGTGGGCCAAATCTTTGAGGCCGGTGGGCCATTTCGGGTCACTGGTGGGCCATTTGGCCCACCAGTTAACATGTTAGCCGAGGCCCTGCACCATCAAAATACGCTGCAGGCTGTGCCATCAATCACATTCAATCACTACCCGTGTCCCTAAATAGAGAGCAACCAAACCAAAGCGTCGGTCTCCAGCGGTTGCCATGGTAACGACCTGGACGCGCCGCGCCCCTGGCTCCATCCAGCCGTGAACGAGCTCGTAATTCGAATACAGTGGTCGACTAATAACGATCACTTTCTCTTCCGTAGGCGACCGGCGCCGGTCGGTGGAGACGGAGGTATGGAGGGGAGGGGAGGGGGGGAGGCGGCCCACCGGTGGCCCTGGGCTTTCTCCGCTCCGCTGCTCTGCCGATGGGCCGAACCGGGCCGGACCGGACCGATCAGCTGCTCGGAATTGGAGCGCTGCCAGCCGAGGGCAGATGGCTGGGAGTTAGACCGAGACTGGTCGGAGACACCTGGATAACTGGGTACATACACTAAATCTGGAATGGGATGGTATAGGGGAAAGGCTGCTAGATAAAGGACGCGGGATTGCTGGCTGAAGTCTCCAAGGCGACTGGCGAAAGGATTTGAAAGGCGACTGCCTTCGTCAAGCTGCGTCGCACTAACATCACACGCGCTTTAGCTATTGCAGCCTTTTTGTATAGCGGCGTCTCAATTAAGCTGCTTCTGAGCAGACAATTAACATTCACTCCGACCCATCACAAGGTGTTTTAATGGCAAGAAGCGCTGGAGGTCCTTCTGTTTTGAAAACAATGCCCGATTTATCACCGAGCGTGATTTACTACCCCGTCCTTGGTCGGATATCAACACCCGCTTCGCGAATAACTTCCTTTGGCGATAAATGTCGGTGACACGTACACTGAGAAAAAAAATTATTCCCCAGGGGTGTTTTACGGGTGTCAGACACCATTGGAGGTGTCATCGAACACCCAGATTGGTGTTGAAAAATGCTGTTTAGGGAATCATTAAGGTGTACAACACCACGATGACACCATTTCAAGTGTTCGTTCGCATGCGAGCGTTTAAATATACCTTAATGGGATTCAGCATGACACCTTAATAGGTGTCCGACACCCACACCCATCCGGGTATCAAACACTCTAAGGTATCAAACACCCTAAAAGGTGTCAAAAATGTTCTTTTAAAAGCATCTGACACCCTTATGATGCCTTCACAGGTGTTGCCATTTATTGAAGCGGAATGTTAAAAGTGTCCGACACTGCTAGAGGTGTCACATTGACACTTGCAAAGGATCTGACACCAAAAACAGCGTGAAAAAATGAGGAAAATATTCCCATGGGGTGTCTCACGGGTGTCGGACATCATTGCAGTGTCATATATAACGCCCAGATTGGTGTCAAAAATGTTGTTTTGGGAATCATGGAGGTGTACAACACCACGATGACAACCTTCAAGTGCAACGCGCTTTTAAACACACCATAATGGGATTCAGAAAGACACATTAATGGATGTCCTACACCAACATCCATTCGGGTGTCAAACACCCTAAACCATCAACACTTCAAAAGGTGTAAAAAATGTTCCTTAAAAGGGATCTGATACCCTTGTGATATCTTCACGTGTGTTGTCATTTGTTGAGGAACATTCCAGAGTCATGTTTGAAAGTTGTCGTGTATTCGAACCCAAATCATCACATAAATTTTTCTGACGTCACTTGTGTTAGGAACCGAGGATGCGGTGTCTAACGGATTTTCAGTGACTCGGACTCCCGCTCTGTCTTCCAAAATGGACTCCTATTCCGGCCAGAACTGCCAACTCCATCAGACTCCGACTCTGGCTCCGTAGCACTGCTAGAAACCACAGCAGGTCCAGTGGTTTGAATCATTACCCAATCAGCAAGCTGCATTGTGTGACGTCATTTGTGTGCAGGTGACGGCGTCAACCATGCGAAGATAAAAAAGCGCCACCTTGCAGGAAAGCCGTTAGATTTCAGTTGGCGGCGGCTGGCCACGTGGTGCGTGTGCGGTGTGAGTGATGGCAGGGCTTTTTTGAATTTATGTGGATATAGTGGCGCCGAACGTTGTTCGCAGTGTACTTCTTCAAGTGATTGTGCGTTAATGATAATGTTTGGCTTTTATTTGTAGCTTGCTCCGTGTTTATTCAAATGACGAGGCGGGCGGTACTCGGTGAAATTTGAAGTCTGGAGTGAGGATGACAACACAGCATTGCACCATGGAAACGAAAGCAAGTGAACTGCGGAATAACATCTGGTTGGAGATAATCGACGGTTAATTATCATTGTTGAAATGCGAACAACTTCTCACTGTGAATGGACTCGATGTGTTTCGGTGAGTTTTCATTGGATTTCTCCATAAATATAGAGCCCATATTTTTTGTACTTTATAGTTTGTTGCTGTATACAAGATAGGAATGCCATGTATGTAAGCGATATGCCTGTTTTGCAATAAATGTAAGAATGTGTCGACACCTTTTTTTGGCATCCAATGGACACTCTTGTAACACCTTTAAGGGTGTGTACCAAACTGCACCTCGCTGGGGTGTCAGACGGGTGTCACTTTTGACACCAATACAGGTGTCATTGGGAATCAAACACCGGGTGTCTGACACCCTTTTGGGTATGCACCCAAAAGGGTGTCAGACACCTAAAAGGGTGTCAGACACCCGGTGTTTCATTCCCAATGACACCTGTATTGGTGTCAAAAGTGACACCCGTCTGACACCCCAGCGAGGTGCAGTTTGGTACACACCCTTAAAGGTGTTCCAGGGGAATAATTTTTTTTTCTCAGTGTAACAGCAGCTTTTGGAGAACGTGTTATGAAGTAGCTTCCGCTTGTTAAACTGAACCACTACTAGCGTCTAGCAGAATGTTCCGCATTGTTATTCACCTTGACAAGCCAATGCACCTGCAGTAAAATGTCTTTAGCGTTTACGATCAATAGCAATTCCACAGCGACGTTGGACCGGTTTCCCGTTTCCGAATACCTACAAAACATCTATCTTCAGTGCATACCTACTCCTCTACGATCGAAAAACCAATGGTTAAATACTAAAAAAGATGAAACAAATTGAAAACTTAACTTTCATTATCTAACCGGTACCCACTTTCTCGGATCTGCCTAAATTCATCCCGTCCTCTCAACGGGCTAGCTCTGAATTCGGAGGTCCGGTGTCGCTCCCTGGGGTGGTGGGTTCGTGTTGAGGGCATCCCTCAGGCGAGGATGTCCCCAAAGAGACTGTCCCGGGTACCCTAGGGCTGTAGGGGAGGATGTCTCCAAGGCACTGTATTGGGTCCCCTGGGGCGGTGGTTTCGTGCCGACGGCGTCCCTCAGGGGAGGATGTCTCCAAGGTACTGTATTGGGTACGCTCAGGCTGTGTTTCGTGTGGACGGCGTCCCTCAGGGGAGGATGTCTCCAAGGTACTGTACTGGGTACGCTCAGGCGGTGTTTCGTGCCGACGGCGTCCCTCAGGGGAGGATGTCTCCAAGGTCTCCGCTAGCCCCGGGGCGCCGGCGGCCGCCGACGGCTCTGGAGCCGACCCGTCCCAAGGTCCGCACTCACCGCAGGTGGGCGGCTCCCCCGTCCAGGTGCCCTCGGACGTGCACAGCCGGCTGGCGTCCCTGCGAACGAACGGGGAACGGCGTCAGACGGGGGAAACGGCGTCAGACAGGGTAAACGGCGTCAGAGGGGGGAACGGAAACGGAGTCAGACACGGGGAACGGCGTCTGACGGGGAAACAGCGTCAGGCAGCGGGTCGGCGCAGCGTCAGACAGGGGAAACGGCGTCAGACGAGGGAACGGAAACGGAGTCAGACGGGGGGAATGGCGTCAGACGAGGGCACGGGCTCAGACGGCGGGGGGGGGGGAGTTAGATCCCGGGCACAGTGGCAACTGCCGGGCCGAGGACGGAAGGCGAGGGGGAGGTAATCCGAATACAGGAAAAAAAACAATGCTTCAGATGTGCGGAAACCGTGAGAGGCACGCAGCAGGGACATGACGGCGCTGTACTGTGGTCGTCACCGCTTTCCCGTGAACGGAAGCGTGTAGGAATGAACAAAACGAAGATGATTGAGGAGTTCAGCAGTTGTGTGTGTCACGGCTGGAGAATGTAAGTACCTGCAATCTCGACAAACCCACCCAAATGGCCCACCTAAATCACCTCCCAAACTAGAGCAATGGCAGAGCCCAAGGACTGTCAATGACGCTTAGTCCAATCAGTGTCTCACAGTCACCACGCGAGGATCCATCCCTATCACGGTGCCATCAGAGGGCCAGCTGCCGGACCGGTACCCCCAAGGCCCGGGTACCCCCCCCCCCCGTACCGACCAGCCGGGTGAGCCGGAGCCGGTCGGTGGGGTACCTCTCTCCCACGCCGGTGGCGGCGGGCACGCGCCGTTCCTTAGCCACTCTGCCTCAGACCGCCGGGACTCTCAGGGTCGGTGGCGGCCGTGCGGGCGTCAAAGGCGCCAGGACTGAGCGAATTTCCATATTCCCGGGAGGTGTGGTGCGCGGGTTTCATGTGAAAACCGAGCAGGTGTTTGAACATACGAAGATGGGAGGGGAGCCCTTTAATTAAGATAAGTGAAGTGGGCACGTTCATACAAACGTAGTTATACGAGCTCCAAGGGTAGCTCCATTCATAAAATCCGTGAATAGATAAAATGCCTCAAATACGCCGACAAATAACATAGTAGTCACTAGTCAGCATTCTTTTTTTCAATCTGGAACAAATCACTTAAATCTTATTCGAGGTATGATTACAAATTGAGTAAAGATGAAATGCCGAAATGGATTGGCGTTTGATTTGTCCAAAGCTCCAGCGGTCGTGAGACTTGCCATTTGCCAACGCCTTTATGTATTGCAAAGAAAAGTCATTCAAACCGCACCCTGTGCTTCCGCGGTCACTCTGCATTTAATTACATGCCAATATACAGCCGCAACTTCAGACTTCCGCGGTCAGTCTGAGTTCAAATACACGCCAGTGTTCGGCCGCAGCTCCGGGCAGCGAAAAATCCAGCAAAGAGTGAACGAACTCCACCCCAGCCGCCCAAAGTTCAAGGGCAGCTGAGGATTTTCGTCAGGAAGTGAGGGTGATGTTCACGATAAGTTCGAGACAGAGCGACAAAGCGACACGGCGGAAACGAAAACAAAACCAGACCTCACAGGGACATAAAACGAACTGGACAATAAACGCATGTAAGACGATGCAATAAATGATAGCGCCCTGCACCTGTGAGTTATTCAATGCGCGGGCCCAAATCAAATTAAGAATAAGCTTAGTCACTGTACTAATGTTATATGTGGCTTAGTGGAAAATTTTGGACTGGAAATGGACTTGGGAAATCCCGGTAGGCGGTAGAGACAAGAAATAAGAACAGCACATACCTACCTACGGGTAAAATAATGCACAAACGATATTCTCTATTATTCAACTAACTTAAAAAAGCACCCATTGCCGTCTGTTACAATTGCTGATGGGCACCAAACGCCATAACATGAGTCATGAGACAGAAAACACTATTTCTAAAAAAATTCACCTAGCAAAAGGCCAGCAGTAACACCCTTCCGGCTTCATTGAATGTGTTAACATTAAGTGTTAAATTTCGTCCCGCAAATGATCAGATATTTTGGTTTTATTCCATTAATTTACCTGCATGCTTATAAACCTTAAACAACCAACAGTTGTTGCACCCTTCCCACTTCTGCGTCGTTGGACGATGGACATCGGAAGGCACGCTGTGGGGATTATTCGCTCGCCTATTGTTCTCGCACTTTTGCTGAAGATCATTCACGTTTTATTGTTGCGTTTCACATTCTTCAGTGTGGTCCTCTGAGGCGATACCAATCTAAAAGCGCACGGTGAGTCAACTCACGCTGTACTCACAAACCGTGAGAAGATGTCCATCCAGGTAAAAACGGGCGTTTCCTAACTGCATTACACCATACCCGTCTCATGGAACCCGCCGGTTCATCTATGCACAGTGTTCTCTTCTCCAGCCCCCTTCGACCGTCAGCCACTTGTTAAGCAGTGAGCGGCGCAGTCTGCTGGTGCTATACGGCCGAGAGCTGACTGTCACAACACGGGGAAAACACACACTAGACGGCCCGTGAACGAGTCCTCCGCGCGTGAAATCCGCCATTGTACGCTCGAAGGCGCACGGGGCGGTTCGGACGCGAGGCCCGCGCGGCACGGCGTTTCTCAACATACGCCGCTGGTTCAGCAGCGGCGCTCGGTGCGCGCGCTGGGCCGTTTGACCGGCGGCCTGCACCGCAGTGGTCTCGGCTGGGTGCTTCCGAAGGTGACGCAGCCACCTGTCGCGGCGGGCCCGTCCTGGAAAACGGTTACAGAACAGGAGAGAGGACAGAACCGAGCTGAACCAGGACGCTCAGACGGACCAGAAATGTGGAGCCGTCAGAGGGTGCAGCGGGGAGACAATGGAGAGCGTGAACTGAGGCACCGACTGATAACGAACAAACGAGAGCAGCGTTTTGCTGGGCGACAAGCTGACGGAAAGTCGACGAAGAGAGCGTAGGTATAATTTAGGCTGGAGGATTGATTAGATCTAGAAATTATATCGGATGAATACACCAAGAGCCGTTAGAAAGAAGGACGTCAGACTTCAGAGACCTGAATACTAATGGATGATGGAAGAGCTTAGCCACGGCAGTGCAGAAAGCATTAAACTCGACGCAAGGTATACGTGTACTTGGTTGGGTCCAGCATGCACGTGGCGTGGTTGGCGGCGACGACGGCGTAAGAGACGTCATACAAAAACAGGTTCCAGTCCGGCCTGTCTGGCCCGGGCGGAAGGACGGGCGAGGTTTTGCGTCCACCTCGGGTGAAGAAACACGCGAGACGCCAACATCCGGTGTCTAGTCGGTGACAGGTAGGTATTTCAACAATAGAGGTGGCAAAATGTGGACCCGAGGACCCGGTTCCTGGATTTTTTTTTCTTACGGGTCCAACCGGGTCTTACCATAAACCATACATCTTGCACACTACGCCTGATTGCAAAATATGAAGTGAATGGAAAGAAAACATTTTCTTATATGTTCCTTTCCACACTGCAGCTCATAAGTATTCCCAGAGGGAAAAAGCTGTTTTACATGATGCAACTAATGATTTCTACAAATGGTTTGTATTAATTGACTTTTGGGGAACGGGTCCAAATGGTTCCGATTCCAACTTATAACGGGTCTGACTGGTTCCAGAAATGTCCAGCCGGGTCTGGTTCGAGTCTGGTTCCCAAAATTTTCACCTTTTGCCACCTCTTTTCAACAACCGAGCAGAGCAAAGAAGGGATACGGTCGGTATCCATAAGTTAAATGAATACCTCTCCAGCAAAGACGTTCGGTCTTTCAAAGACGTTCGGCAAAGACGTGACTGGGGTTGTAAATGATCAGAAGTGCCCAAAGGGCAGGGTGGTGTCTATGGACTCCCCTTATCACGTGATTGTCATTTCAGACATTCAGATTTTGTTTTAGCCGTTAATATTTCTCAGTGAGTAGGCATCTTACCACAATATTAGCTTTAGACCATAAAATTTGTAGCAAATGAGCAGGAGCCACATCAGCAGCCTAATCCCTCAAAGTCGAACAGAGGTGCTTGTTGACAGCCGCCAGACCGGGCCTCCCATCATTCAATCAAACTGGCCATAAAACGTCTAATTGCAAAAACGACAGCAAGCAACGCAAAGGGCGGATTTATGAGATAATGCGTGATTAATGTGCATACATAAAGCTAGGGATGTCACGCCGTCAAGTACCCCTACTACTACCCCTACCCCTACTACTACGTACCCCTACTCAGGTCGCACCTGAGGGTCAAGGAACAACATGTTTCATACCTGAGATATAGGTTACGAGTAAGCTTCTAGCAATAGTTGAGGCTGTGATATGGCTTACCTACCTATATGCTCATTGCTCATTGCTGAACCGAAGTAACTATCTGGGGCATTCCACGATAGATCGTACCAGGCCCGTCACCCTCATCTCTCAGATTTGAATGAAAATTGGTACAAGGGGTAATCATAGGCTCTAAAAACACCTGCCAAAATATCAGACTTCTCAGATGAAAACCTTTTGAGTTACATTGTATAATATTTTCTGAACTTCAGATTGTAAGGGTGAGTTTGATGAGCTATAACTCAAAAACGAGCTAAGCAAGCAACAAACGGTAAACAGCTTTGAACTAAGGATGAATCAAACATTAATACAGTATTCTTAAAATTGGAAAGAAAAGCTTTACATATTGAAAAAATTCGTAGTATTTTTTTAAATTGTCTACAACGGCCCTTGGGACCAAAATTTTTGCCATTTTTATTTCTTCAAAATAAACCTCAGGTCCTTTAAAATCGACATGCAAAAAATTAGAAAGGTGTTCTTTCTATAAGTTCCTCATTTAAATGCACACAAAATGGGTTTCCGGGGTGTCGGTACGACCCCAGCTCGCCGTTTCGTCTCTAATGGAGCTAGAACCTTGCGGAAAAAACGAGCATGTGCGCCGTTACAAGATGCATCGAATGATACCACATTTTAAGGTCTCGGGTTTATTGGTGACCCCTGAGGTCATTTCAAGTGACCCAAATTACGGGTCCGGTTTTTGATAGATAACTTCGCAA